TTCCATGGTCACAACAGACCTACAATAATAATAGTTACAGTTCGCATGACACTCATGGAAGGATCCATGGGCTTAACGCATTTGTCAACGAAATCCAGGCAGAAGAGCCGACAAAAGGCATCTCATTATTGTTAGAACGTATCGCAGTAAGAACAACTACGCAAGCGCAGCACATTTTTCCACAAGCATCAGCCATTATTTCTTGTCTAGAGCCAGTTCAAAACAGTCAGAAATATCAATATTGGCGTGCTTTAGATCATTTTTATATTGTCAATCCATCTGAGATGGGGTCGGCCACGTGGGTGCTTGATGTCCCGGGTATTAATTGCCCTCTCCAGTGCTTGGTAGGACGCTGAGTTACAGACCTACAAGGGCGAATATAAAAGTATCTTTGCAACCATACAATAGGTCCTTTGGTAGCGCAGAGCTGGACCCAGTTTCAGGAAAACTAGGACGAAATATAGCTGCTAGAGGCACGATATCCTCATTGCGTCGCTATGGGCTGCCACGAGCTCAGCGTCAACAATGCTCTGAATGCCAGCGGTTTTCCGCTTTCATTGCCGATGCCTGCTGCCAAATATATCTGGAGTGCGCAGTATTGGATCGATCTGATAGAACCAGGCCCTAAACAGATGGAGAAAGTTAGAATGTAAAACATGTATCGATAAAATGTACTTTTTCTTGTGCGAGATGTTGAAGACTGCATCCTGAAGTGGTACTTACCGATCGAGCAAATCACCCCGTTTCCTGGACACTCCGGCTCCTCTAACTCGCAGGTAAGTCTTCGACTAGTTGATAGTCCATTTTCCAAAGGACTCGTTGTCCAAAGGCATCAAAACCCGAGCTTTGGGATCGCTAATTCAACTTGATTCTCCCTCGCAGGACTACTATCAAGTGACAACATTCCCTCCATCGCAACGTACCGCCACAAGAGATGAAGTGCTCGGCTCATTAACCGCTTCATCAGCCATGTATCAAACATATCACAAAGGTCCAGCAAGAATTAAATGCGAAAAACCCTTTCTACATATTGGACAGCAATGAAGAAGCGAGAACAAAACAGAATCCTTCGCTGTCAGTTTTTTTCCGATCCAGGAGAGTCCCGTTTTTTCTGGCCGCCTGGGTAAGTACACGCCAAACGCGGTGATTGATCGTTGCGGTTCCAGAACAAGAGCTCGCGCTGGGAGGAATGCACTGCATGTATGGCATGCCTGGGTCACGCATTCAGTACGCATGCCATGCCCCGCAAAGTCACTGCGTGTCTTATTTGGCAAAAGACCTATTGGCATTGCAGCGGCTCAGGCGACTTGGCAAACTACATTCTGAAGTGACTTTCGCCCTGAAGAAAGTGAGATTCAAAATCCAAGTATTCTCGCACCATGCCACAATGACGTCACACATACATTGGTATGGGGCGTGGCTAAAATTGAAATATCTCAAGAACGCTTTCTCGTAGAGACTTCGGACCAAGACCATTCGACTCAGCGCCCGAAACTCTACAGGCTATCAAATTTTCATTTTTTCGTGGAGTTCCCCTTTAAGTCTTTTCGTGTGATCTGTGTACAAATGTTCACCGGCTCTAAATTCGCAATTCTCGCGCGAAGGTTGTATGTTGATCGTATATTCCATCCTATGTTCAGTAATATTCCTGCCCATGCACCTTTATTCGTCACGTTTTCACTCAAGCAACTCAATATGGCTGACACCTTAGAGATTTCTTCATTGTTTTCATCTACTTGCAATAATGGCATTATTTAGTGCAGGGGTCAAAAGACACTGGTTTTACTTTCTAGGTATCCTTACTCGCAGTTATGGCACCTCATCAATTAAAAATCAAAGGTATATGCCAGACGTATTTTCCTGGTTTTTTTGTTGTTTGTTCTTTTCTCGTTTTTTTCCGTTTTTCACACATAAAATTGCTTTCATTTTCTGGTGTTGTGTTCTAATCATTCGCCATGCCACTGTCAATTGTATTCTCTTTGCCCGTAAAAGAGGCCTGTAATTGCCAGACGGAACAGGAAGCAAAATTAGGAATAGTCACAATATTTGAGCTGATTCTGATTAACCACACTTCGGCAATTCCAAAAGTTTGACTCGCGCAGTGTCAAATGACAGTGGTTGCTGTTCTAGGATTAAACATAGATTCAAGATCAGAGAACGACGTCAAACAGTTGGAATCACGAAATAACGTGCATTCCTGTCGTTTGCATTGCTTATCAGATTTCTTTCATCTTCATCTCGTTTTGAGAGATTAGAAGGTACATGTATAGTTTAGAGAATGGCGACTCCAATGACATGGAGTTCTCGTGGTGTTTTCGCCATCCACGCCTCATTAATTCAGCTATGAGCTTTCTCGTGCATGTACATGTAACGTGTTAAAGGGTGGCCAAAGGATAAATAAGTTCTTTTGAACCATGCATGTGTAACAAATACTTGGCTCTTACAGAAGATTCCTTCTATGTAGATCCGTTAGCGAAAGATTGTGCCTGAAAGGTACACCATTAAATTTTATATAGTGCTCTCCGGGCACAAACATCACCAAGCATTCAAATTTGCAGAGACGTTCCGTTTCCTGCGCGGCAAACACCTCGTAAACATCAGATAGCAGCGTGAGTCAGTGGCGCTCATGGAGGTGCTGAACAAGCGCTGAGGGCCGCTGGCCATTCATGCCGTTGTCGCCTCCAAACCATCTAATTCGCAAGCCCGGGCTGGAGACAACAATGTGAAGAAGCAGTTCTCCTGCCGACTTGGATTCTCACCTGACTAATTCACGACTGCCATCCAGAGCCTAGTCCGGAATAGCGCGGACTAGTTCACGCTGGAGGCGCTATACATTCACAGCTTGAAGCCAGAACTGTTTCGACACAAGAAGCACATCAAGGTGCTGCGGCTGTTCAAGTCGCATCATGACTGACAACTTTATCACGTGTTTGTTCCGGTAATGCATTCCCTTTATATGTTGTGTTTTCTTGTTGCATTTTTGCACTGCTCCATACATTCTTGTGGTAGTGAAGTGTGAACTTGAGCCGCGTTAGCACATTCTTGCAGATTGTATACCCCCAGTATAATTTCTTGATTCTTTTTCGTCCTTCCTCACTCCCATGTAACAACTGATGAAAATGGGAGAAACACTTTTGGTATTATAAAATTGACAACCACTTTGTTAGAAAAGGGTTTGCTCCCCACACCGGAGCTCGCGCTACGAGGTGTTTGTCGCGCTGAAAACGGAGCGTCTCTGTACGTTTGTATCCCTGGTGATGGTCGTGCCTGGAGAGCACTATATAAGTGGTGCTCTTCAGGCACAATCTTCCTCAGCCTCCTCAAACTCAACTGATGAGGGTTTTTTTTTTTTTTTTTTTTTTTTTTTTTTTTACTGAATACCACAGTACCATCAGATGCTGCACTCCCCGAAACACTGCGTATTGAGCAGGGAGTGGTGCTTTCTTGCAGGTTTGGCGAGTTGAAGGTTCGATGGACTTCTCGTGTGCTCTGGATGGCAGTCGTGAGTCAGTCAAGTGTCAAGTAAAGTCGGCGGAATAGCGCGAGATCCGGTGTGGGGAGCAAACCCTTTTCTTACAAATTATCGCCGAGGTCGCAACCACTACTTCGAACCACGTTGTTGTGTGTATAATTATGTATAATTATCCGGCATTGTCTTACTGAGTATGTATAATTGTCTATATTTATATCTCACTCCATATACACTTACATTCTTAGGCATGCTCTTCCTTAGTGGTGTATCTAGCTCCATATACACCGCTAAGGGAAATTAGCAGCAGTTGTCGGCGAGGAACAAGCGATTAGGTGGTCACACACGGTGAAAATGGAGAGGTATAAAATATATTATAACAAAGGGACCTAATGTATATCGAGATAATAAACACCCGGTTCCCTGTTAGTATATATTATAACAAGGCACCGAGTGTATATAAAGATATATACACCAGTATGAAAACCGAGGCGAAGCCGAGATTTTTATAACTGGTGTATATATCTCGATATACACGAGGTCCCTTTGTTATAATATATTTATACCTCTCCATATTCACCGTGTGTGACCACCTAAAGGCTTGTTTCTCGCCGACAACTACTGCTAATTTCCCTTAGCGGTGTATATGGAGATATCTACACCACTAAGGGAGAGCATGCCTAAGACTGTAAGTGTATATGGAGTGAGGCATAATTATACATATACACCCAAAAGGCGCATTGGAGGTTTACAGAGTTGTCGCAACTAACAAGATCTTGCTCAAGGCAATCATCAGGTGACTTAGACCAGGTCTGTCCGCAGATTGAGAACACATGTATTTATATACTCAATCTGCGCCACAGAACTGGTTCGTCCGTTAGGGAATCAAACGCAGTAGAGATCTGCAGCGTCAGTTAATTACCACTGTTTGTTTAACACACTGCGCCGCATCAAATGTTACATTCGTATGTGGACCGCATGCGGATACTGGCACGTAGATGCATTCTGTCAATATACATGAACGGTCCATACACCTTTGTGGAAGATGGAGAGGATCAGAATCCCACAGAAAGCGGCCTGTATCACCCCACTACATACATCGTTGCCTCTAGGGACGGTTGCACTTGTCTTTGGTTCTACTTATCAGTGGTCATGGCAATATTATGTGAACGATGATGTCGCAGTGCACGTATTGAATCACTTACCATAGGCTTCCTGCCACACGTTATGATCTGTTGTTTTCTCTAGTGCTGATGAAAACAGTAGCCTCCTGGATTAATTGTGGTTTTCAGCAGAAGTCTAAGGTCAAATATTCATAAGCCTGACCAAAGGTGCTTGATTATGAAGGTTTGAGCATATACATTATAGCGAACAATGTTCTCTTCAGCCCAGTGTTTCAGTGACTCGAGATAATCTTAGTTTGTTATCGTCTCCTTGTCAGGTGAAAGTTTTGAAAGAGGACTCATATTCCAAGTGGTACACTAAATTCAGCGTTTGTTTTCACACACTCTCTGTCTTTCTACACACATCGGCGACCTACCGGTATATGACATAGTCCCACTCAATGTTTGGACAGAACGGTTATACAGGGAGTGCTAATGGCTGGACGGTATATCCTCACTGCGTTTCTAATGACTATTTTGGGAGTATCGTTGGGTAAGTTTGGAGGATACAGACTTTTCATTTACTATTTTGTAAGACATTACATGCAGTAATTGAGATACTAAACCAGACCCAGGATTTGTAGACGTGCTGGGGGAGAAAGATCAGTGTAACAGTCAAGGAGCAAAAGAATACACTGTTCAGTTTATCATGAGGTAGCGACCAAACTTACAGATAAGCGTGGCAGAGTGGAACAGTGACGGACAGGAAAACAACAACTGATCATGGGCAGCTGTCCGTTGCCCAAATCTAGTCTTTGTGTCGAAGGTGGTTACGTTTGCAAGTCACCATGTTCAGCAAAAAGGGAAAAAACTGACTGGGAGCAAGACCCTTACTAAAGTATTATACGACAATGCAACTAGACACAGTTTTGTCTCTTTTTTTTTGTATTTTGTCACTCAGTATTGTGCCTTGTAGTCTAACAAACTGACTGTTTTCCAGCTGGTTTCTTTGGTGGACAGTGGATCATAATTCATAACACTTCATCTTTCTGAAAAGATTTGGAGAACTACAAATTCAAGGGATCAATCGAGGAAGTGAACTGCCTGAAGAGAGAAAAAAACCATCCGGACCCACCAGGATTCGAACCAGGGACCTTGCCTGTAACGAGCAAAGCTCGGACCACTGACCTATGGGACGCAGACAAGTTTTGCACTCCAACGGCATCTCACAATACGTGCTACACAAATTGATGGCACCCTGGAGGAGGGAAAAAGACCCGAGCGCCATCAGTACGTGTGGCAAGTGTTGTGGGCTGACATTGGAGTGAAACAACTTGTCAGCGCCTTCTTACTTCAGCTTTGTCCCTTTGCTCCGTGCTTAGGGCTGTGCTCATGACAAGCCAGGTCCCGGGTTCGAGTCCTAGTGAGTTTGGTGGTTTGTTCTCTTTTCAGGCAGTTCACTTTCCCGACTGATCCTTTGATGATTGACCATTGTTGGCTATCACCCATAGCTTCCCGTTTTGGCTGCCATCGGAAGCCATAAGATGTTGCATAAATAAATAAATATCTGTCTTTCCTATACTTTAACATTGATACCATCGGGTCAATTCCCTACGTACAAGCTTAGGTGTCCAACGTTCTCTGTGTATTTTGGTTCAGGTTCCTCTGTGCGATGTGAGCCATGTATTTGGGGTTCCACAACACATGTATACTCAAGATCTGAAGATGACGCACTCCATTTGATTGCATCATATGATGATGGGGCCGCTCTGTATGCACCGGGAAATGGCTACTACACGAAAACTTTTTCCTTACCTCGTTGTCACATCGACATTATTGGACTATCACTTCAGGTGAAAGGTGTTTGCAAGCTAGGTATCTCAATGCATAGTTCCCAACTGGAAACGATGGATGCAGAATTAATAGTAAGCCAGCCAGGTACATCCTACACAAAAAGGATTTGTGCCTTTTTCACACCTCCAATAAATTTGATGAATGTTCCCTATCCATCAACTCTGCTGGTTAACGTTACAAATAATGTGTCGGGTGGGCAATGTTCGGTGTATCCAACACGTAATTCGATAATGACTGGGGCCTTCTTTCTCCACCTCAATTGTAAGTTAGTTGCAACTTTTCTGTTTACGGAAATGGCTTCGTTCCTGTTTGACATGTACTTAATTGCTTCATTATGTCGGACTATTTTTAGCCCTGGCATTTATAATTATACTTACCGTAGCTATGCAAAAGACGTGTATGACCCGTGCCGTACTATCAAAGGCAGTTAGCCACCTTATTTGAGACACTCAAATAGGGCTTTTAACTGCAAGATCATAACGTTAAGAAATATGTATGTATGCGAAGTGTATCAGGAGAATGCATGTGGGGCGATAGTGCAGGTTTAAATATCGTGTGATGTCTTTAAAAATAGGGGAATTAAAAAATAAGCCTAATTTAACGGCGGTTTTATTGAAACAGCAAATCATAGCAATGTCAGTCTTTTTCTTGGCGCTAGTAGTTTTCAGTCTGTGTTTTCGTTCAGCGTGTCTTTTTTAGCGTCGAGATGTCCTCAGGTTCTTTTTTCGGTTTTGGGGGAGCTGATCCTGTGCAAGTGACGGAAAATGAGGTGGGTATAGCGGCAGCGAATATCAGATGCACGTCAAGTTTAAGAAGGAGATCGGCCAACAGATGGGTCAGTAGACCAAGATTTGTTTTCCTAGAGCGTTTCCAGAAGCAACAGTTATCAATAGGCCATATGTTTTCTTTCATCAAGAGTTTAATGTCCGGATTCGATCAGGCATCCAAGAGTGTGTCGAGCAGACGAGTCGTGTATATCTATGTTCCAGGGCGAATATAAGTCAGGCCCTGACGAGACGCCGACTCTGGCAGATCATGTGACTCACTCTCATTGTCCCTGACATCCTCTACAGTTCTAACCCATACTTTTCCTGCCTAGTATCAGCCCAAGTACAACAGATAACAGGCCTGGATAAAAAGTGCCCTCGGACCGTGACCAAACAGCCGGGGCTCACACACATCGCCAAATGCTTTCACCCTCTTCAGACAGATCCCTGGGCTGGAACAAGCTGAGCCGAGGTCAGTGCCCTATGCTAGTTATGTGTTTTTGCCTAGCTTATCATGCCATGTTATTCGAACTTATACCCTGCATCTTAGCATGGTACAACGGTTCCATGAGTTCGAATAACATTCATTTATAATGAGCTAGTCAAAAAAAGCATGGCGTAGGGCCCTGTGCTTTCAAGCTCTCTTGCGGAGAATTAATATTACCGCATCCAGGATCCAGAAAAACTGCATCATGATTGGCAATTGTCATCAAAACTGTGCAATCCTAGCTTAACGCTAGTCCATGAGAATCCATCCCGATTCCTTTCTTTCGATCGCTCTCCAGGGTTCATGTGTATTCGTGCTTCGCTTCAACGCTTGGGGCATTTATCTGATGAACATGACCTCGAAACCAATGTCCTCGTGTAAATGTAAATGTAAAATGTAACGTATACATGTACTCGTATCTTATATTTTGGAAAGATTGCGCAAGTGGTAGAAACCAAGTGAGCCTTGCACCAAAGCCGATATAGGTTACCCTTAGCACCTCGTTTTCCTGAAAACGATACTTTTCACTAAAGAAAAAGGACGAAGTAACATCTACAAGTTACACAATAACTTTCTCTAGCACCACCAGTTACTACTAATAATAATAGTTACAGTTTGCATGTCACTCTTGGAAGGATCTACGGGCTTAACTTGTCTGTCAACGAAATCCAGGCGGAAGAGCCGACAGAAGGCATCTCATTATTGCTAGAACGTATCGCAGTAAGAACAACTACGCAAGCGCAGCGCATTTTTCCACAATCATATTATTTTCACAACTTAGGACCTTCCATATTGGAATGGTATTGGAAAACGCATCCAATATTAATTTTGCTATAAGTGTTAGCCATTATAGTTGTAGAACGTCAGAACCGTCGGTCAGTATCGTGCAATGTAATCGCACGAGATGACTCTTTAGTAACTGGTGGTGTTATTCATTGCATTCCCAACTCATCACAACCACGCGCTCTTCAGCCGAACCATACAGACACCAGCAAGGACACTTCCGGTGGTGTTATTGGACATTATAAGTAACTTTTAGTGTCTTGGTCCTTCTTATTCTTTACTATAGATTTATCCTTGGGTCTCCATTCGAGAACATTGTAATATGATTGTGTTTCAGATACAGATGAATGCATGAGGCCGCAAGCGAAGCACCTTGAAATATCAACGTGCACGAATACTAGCTTTCTTAACACGGGACGGCTTGCCAATGGTAGTCGAGGTACAACGTCTCTACCTTCATCGATTCATGGAGAGTTTGGACCCAGCGACCCTATCACTGACGATACAGGTATGAACGCTACACAGAATGTGGAAGCTAGTACAAATTCTGCTTCCATACCACCCGAGAAACAGCCAAAGGAATCTGGTAGCTCGCTTGCAACAGCTGTCGGAGCCGTCATTGGATTCATGAGCGTATTTGTTTTGGCAGCTGTGCTTTACGTTCTGTGGAGACGGCATTCCAAGCACCGTCTGAGAGGGGATGCAGTCGAACGACAAGACGTTCCGCTTCCAAGACGTCCATCTACACCTGAGAATTTGGACAGAACTGCCACCTTGTATTCAGCTGTTGGACCAGGTCACGGAATATTGCAAGCGCACGTCTCGAATGCTAGCCCGGATCATGACGGTTCCATGCAACCCGAGAGCGCTGTGTATGCAACAGTGTCGGAAGAGCCCACCGGTGCATCGTGCAAACTAGTTGGTCAACGCATTCACGCAACACCTCCGACCCCTTTTGAATCCAGAGACCAAGAGGAACCCCACGATGAATCATCAATCGCCACAGACGTGTATGCAATGCCGCAAAACACGAAGAAGGAACCTCAATACACCGAGCCCAAGAAGAATGCTAGAGTCAAGATAACGGCCACCAATTGCAGTTGTGAGGACGCGGCCACATCTGCTGAATCAACTGGAAGTGACCTTGGAGGACCAATTCCAGTACGTACTTCCGACATACAAGGCAGTGCAGAAGTGGAGGACACCGATGATGATGGAATCTAAGGTGAAATTTTAAAGTCTACTACACATATGCATGAGTACTCCGTAGTAAACATTGCTGCAAAGAAGAAGCCCGCGTCCGACCAAACCAATGACGATGCTGGAGACAGCTGCGCTCAGCAATCTGCTGTCAACACGTAAAGTCACAGCACAGATCACCACCGTTTAATTTTAATTGGAAAAGGAGCCCTTGTTCACGGGAAGACACTTACAGACATTAACGGGAAAGAATTTTAAACCGCTGCAAGACAAATGTACATTTGATATTCAGATCTTATAATTCCCACCACCCACTTTGATTCACCATTGCCTATGCACCAAAGTATTCATTGGACGATACTTACATTTAAGATTCCTACAACTTCAAATACGCCTCTATACTCGTAATACCTAATATGACTTTGTTACCTCTTTCGATGTGCACTGTATTCCTTGGTATGATAATGTTCCAAGATTTGATGTCACGCTCGTTACTCACGGGCGCTCGATAAGTCTCGATTTCACCCCCCTTCTCACATATGCAATATTCCTTCGCCTCGATTCATTTTTAATTCGAATCTTAAACTGGCAAAATTATTTGCCAAAAGTCTGGGTCCATGTTTTAAACAAGTGTTAGTGCTAAATCTACGTCACGATAACCTTAGGTTTCTGGTAGTTACGAGTGCATCGACAGTTCAGACCCAATCCTCAGTCCCAACCCAACATATTAAATACAGTTCACAATTTCTCGTCATAAGGATAACCCCCATGTTCAAATTGATACACCCCGTTTTCTATAAGAAGGTTAATTTTCTTATACTAAACTGCCTAAGAACTATTCCATCTTTTCGACAACTTCCGCGTGTTTGGCTTTGAAAACATTGTTGTGCAACAACCCGTACCTCAACACAACATTACCCATTATTTTCTTTGATCCTTGCTATTCTATTGTTACACTTTAAACTATATTTGACTTATGAAGCCATATAATTTGCATTACTAAAACCAAAATCAATTTCTTCTCACATACCGAGAGCTTACTTGCAATTTGCGACTTCGGCGGTATCAGCCATGAAGTTGGTTGTACCATAGAAGAAAATAAGCTTCCTGGCGACCTTGACACATGACTGACGCACGACGTCCGTCCGAAGCACAGGAGGAGCACGTCGCGCCTTCCAATCGAAAAACCTGCAAGAAAGCACCACTCCCTTCTCAATACACAGTGTTTCGGGGAAATCAACCGCTATCAGTTGAGCTCGAGTAGGCTGAGAAAGACTGTGTCGTCGCGCTGGAAAAAAAGCGTCTCTACTGTTGTTATCTCTGGTGATGGTTTGGCCTGGAGGGCACTAGATAAATTGTGCTTTTCGCCTACAATCTTTCTCAGTCAACTGATGAGATGTGAATTCACTGAGACACAGTGTATTGAGCAGGGAGTGATGGCGTGTTTGGCTTAATTCTAGTTGGTTAGTCCCGGGTATCTGATCTATCGGTGAATGACTGGCGTTAATCACTTTATTGGCTCTGACGCAGCCCATCGAATTGAAACAAAATGCCTTGGATAACAGTTATCTATAACTCGGATGTTGAGCCAATAATAAATGTAGAAAGGAAGAGGTGATATGGATACGAGGTAAGAGTAACTCTCCAATACTGTAACCAGATACTATAATATACAGTCAGAAAGTGCAAAAACTAGGCACAAAGCTGACAAAGTACTGAGACATTCGACGTCCTGACACCTAGCTTCAACACATCTCCGTAGCGCTAACCGACAGCCTTCCAACTGGGAAGGTTCAAGGTTATTGAAAGACTAAAGAGGGAACATCCGAGTTTTAAATTGCACACCTGATGAGCCGTCACAAACCTTACGGCGAAACGTACGTCGTGTGAAATAACTTGTTTTCTAATCAACTAATCCATCACAATGTCATGCATTATGAGTACCATAGTAGTTTGGCTTTCGGCTTGTACAATTCGGTTTCGCAAAGCTTCCCCCGTCTTCACTTATCGTTGATATTTATGAGCCATCCAAGTTGGGTGGTGTGCTGCTTTGCTGCTTCGGATTGTAGTTAGACCGCTTTGTCAAGTATCCTACTGGTCTCGTCATCGTCCAGTAACAATCGACATTCTTTGTTCCGTTGGGACAGTAGATTTTGCTCGTTTTCGTTGCGCTTGCCTTCCCTGCTTTGGTATTTCCATAACCTTGAACCTTTCCAGTCGGTAGGCTGTCGGTTAGCGCTACGGAGATGTGTTGAAGCTAGGTGTCAGGCCGTCGTTTGTCTCAGTACTTTGTCAGCTTTGTGCCTAGTTGTTGCACTTTCTGACTGTATCTGGTTGCAGTGATGGAGAGTTACTCCTAGCTCGTATCCATAATTATGTCCTCTTCCTTTCTACATATATCAGTTATCACAATCGGTTCCTTCTTCTCACAATCTGTAATATCCACCAAAAACGCAGAATGAGACTATTTCCCCAAGTGCAACATCTGATAGTATATGTGCATTAAGATACGACCCCAGTTAATGATGTGCAAAAGAACATCGGTCACACAACGATTATGACCACGGTCTGAGTGAGTTCTACGTTTAGAATCCAATATTCCTCACAAGTACTCATATAATGTTCCAGTAGTGCAGCCCCTCACCTCGAATTCCGCTTCAAGATCACACCAGATGTACTTGGTACCCATTAACACTATTAAGGTTTTAAAACCAACAAAGTCTTCAAGTAGTTTTCCAGGAGCAACTGAAAATAAAAGAGGTGCCGTGTCTGTGAGCGTCTTTCGTTTTGCCTAATATTAACTTAATATATGAACATTCACCAGACAAACGAAAAACGGATAGTGCACGAGTTTTTATGAATAATTTGGCAAAAATTATCCAGCCAAGGCCAAAGAAAATCCAAACCCAAGTAGGACTTTATGCAAAAGAGAATTATTATTATTGGTTGAACATCCGAGTGTTTTGAGTTTTGAGTAAGACTTTCGACATCTTTTTTCATAGACTGGTACAATTATTTTTTTGTATCGATACTACTATCTTCCATTATCTTTCATCTCGTCTATTCAAATCTGGAACCACTGATTGGTTAGCCATGCCTTTGTAAAGTATCAGTATATAGAGGATTAGGGTGCAATATCTCCTCGGCTGTCACCTTATGCCCAGAAGTGAAGTGCAGAAAAGATGGATTACAACCAAACTACCAGGCATCCTTGCAGGACATTCATACTTGTGAAGACTCCTCAACCTTAGCTCTGGGACACAGCATTCTTTGTTGTGCGGATGTATAACTTCTGTTGCAATTTTAGCTTCCCGAATTCTGGCCACATTTCAAAACTGGCGGAATATACATTCTTGCAATTCATACTAGTTATACATTACAAAAAACCCGGATCTAGTGTCATTGTATTCTCAAGCAGTGGTAGGATCTATATATTATACGATAAGGTGTGCCAATAGGGTAGAGTGACCAGCGAAACATAGTTCCTGAACAGATCTAACATTACAGTGTGTTGTGTGTATTTGTGATTACTACAGCAATAAAGAGTATACATGTGCAGATGAAGTTGGGCCAAACATTGTGCCCCTAGCAACACAATACGTTCTAAGAGGAGCATTTTTCACCCAGCCCTCATCCTCTAAGATTTACTGTGAAAACCTAGTGGCTGTCGACGAATACCCTCACGAGACATTTTCATACTAGAATGGACAGCTGCCATTAAAATACTTATGGATATCACACCCTTGCATTATAGAAAGAAAATGCGTAACTTTGCTAGATTCCAGCTCCAATTTATGCCCTTTTTGGCATTTCGTGCCATTTGTCAACTTCGTTTCGGAACCCACAGAAGTGGTTTATGTCGACACTTCCCCTGCTGAACTTCCGTTTACAAGTATCATTCAATGTAACTTGGGGATTCAGGAAGCCTCAACCAAGTGTAATCAGATTAGGGAATTTATAGTGTTGAATGAAGTTAGTCTTGGCACGAACGTATCTGATCCACATGCGGGTTTTTTGAAACACCCATAATAACAATAGACGTGAAGCAATTAGCAAGGGCTATGCAGAGTAGGCTGGTGTGCATAGATGTACTTCAGAGAAGTATGAAAATGTAAAAAAATGTTTTGATGGACATTTTTCACCACACTTAGACTGGACAGGCTCCAAGGACCAACGTCATAATTGTATGTCATTTTCTGACAAGAACAGCTAGATTAGACAAGAACAACTACATTAGTGTTTTCCTCGCGCCCCCGTCTGGATTTTTCTTCACCTGGTCAATATCGCTGTAGTGGATCCCAGTAGAACAAATGAAAAGATACACAACCGAAGAAATTTTTTGCAACGTCGGTCGTGTGATTTTTCACATCCGCGGTAAACCCGAGGGTACAAATATAAAACAATAAGCAGGAAATCGTGACGGGGCGGCTTGTCTGTAACCCCATCAAGGAATAAAGGATAAATGAAAATATTTATATATTATACTGAAGTAGTTACGGCCCAAGCCGGTGTGACGGTTCAGGAACGTGGATTAAAAAAAAAAGGTACACAATGAAAAACTCGTTCCTGGTTCTATTAAAGTTATTATTCTTTAGCAAACGGACGCGTTCTTTCAGTTTCTTATTTCTGATTTAAAGAATCACTGCACAGTAATACTAAATGTGCCGAGGACATTGCACATGCATGTGTTTCATCCTGCTCTGTAGGGGGTGTTGGACAACCACGCCATTGCGACAAACCAACAGCAACAGTTGGCTCAACTACACTCTCCCCGACTCACCTAGTGAACACCAACCAATCTTTCACTGCTACGAAGTCAAGCATTCAAACCGTTCGTCAAGAAATAAGACCACTCTCTACTTCCACTGCGCAGGACAACAAAGATCCGGGTTGTGTTCTTGTCGGGGTTGTGATTGCACTTTCTTGTGTCCTTATTGTTGCCGTTGGCATCATCATCCTACCTAAATTATTTGTCAAGTCAAGAGGTGCTGGGGAACTGCAGGTGGCAGATCTAGAGTCTGAACGCATTGCAAAGCCGGCAATTATTCCAGAAACAGGAGACTTGGTGGCTACAGATGCAGCCATATACTCTGCAATCGAGCCAGGCAACGTTGCCAGGGATACACCGTCCGCGTCTTACGATGTGAACCTTACCCCCCTGAATACGCTACTATTTCAACGATACTGGAAGGCAACGCCTGCCAAGCAGACGCAAACAAGGAGGTGGATATTCCCCCAACAAACAATTTCGAAATAGAGGAAACCAACATCAGCAATTTTCATCCTATCCTATTTGACCGCTCAGATGGTACTGACCATCCTGCTGGCAGAACGAGTTTCACGTCATGTGAAGTTGTCAGTAGAGAGAGAGAAGGATTGACGGACAACGTGTCGTACTCTGCGGCAGCAAGATCAGGAGCGCCAAAAGTTTTAAGTGATACCTCGCTGATAGTGTGCGAAAATGTCAGTCCCGAGATAGCCGGATTTCAAACAACCAGGTGTATTCTGCAGCAACAAGATCCCGGGCGTCCGAAACTGGCATCAGAATCTTGATGAACATAGACAGAAATGCCAGTCGTGGGCAAGAACAATTGACAGACAACAAAGCGTATTGTGCAGCTTCGTTCATCGAAATAGATGCTGCTGATTACATCGTTATAGAGTGAGTTTTCGAGTAATATTCAAGATAAACGTGCAGTTTCGTATAGCACACATCGCAAGCTGATTTTTGCGCTCTCAATTTGGCCATTCAATTATATATAATATGGCGCAACGTGGCAAGTTTTCACTCCCCCCCCTCCTCCGCCCTCCCTCACCCCCACCTACATTCTTGCATAGCTACACAAATTTGGAGGCGTAGTGAACACGTCCCCGTCACTGCACAACGAATTTTCATAATTATTTGAAATTTATCTGTCAATGTAACTAGTGCATTTCATTCAAGAGATCTGGATGACACATTAGTACCTTGCAAACCGATTTTTTCTCCACCTTAGAGTCTAAACCAGCGATATTATGGCG